AATATAATAATGTGTTATAAGAATATCCTTGTTATTATTTTATAGAATTAAAAATTTTACTATTACTGCTTTTCTCATCATCATTTCCGATTTGGCTGAAATTTCTTTTGTGATCTGCTATAATAAAATTAAAAAACCCATATACCATATAGTAAAAGAAATTGCAAATTATTTTCTTTGGAAATAAATTTTCTTTTGTTTTTTAATCAAATTAAAAAATATTTTCCTAAGTACTTTTATTATTAATAATGAAAGAGACTATAATATTGTCTCATTGAACTTGTAATTTTACTCAACATACTATTAAAAATAATTTATTAAACTGATATTTCAATAAAAAAAAATGCTTTGTTTACCTTAGATAAAACATTATTTTCATATAATTTCGGTATAATACTAGAAATGGGTTTGCCCTCAGGTTAACTTTTACAAATAATGCTTAAAGAATACAAGAGCCGGCATATATGTGACAGATAAAATATTTTGAACTGTGACGTAAATTTTTTATTAATCAATGAAATTTCTTCCTTTCATTACTTTAACACAAATAACCGAAATGAAGAAAGTAATTTGTTATATTAACTACAATAAAAAGTAATTGGAACAGATTGCTTTTAACTGTTTTATTATAGATTGATATATAAACCGAAAGCATAATAAAATAATCATGTGTGCTAAAAATTACACAAGTCATTGATAATTCATTAAGAAATAAATATAATTGTTCTTTATATTATTTTACAATTGTTTCGTATTTTATAATGGAATATTTCAATTGACGAACATGTTCACATTTTTTAATTATAATGAAATCATGCAATTAAATGTTATAAACAAATTTTCCACTGTTGGGAGATAAATTTGTCTTTCACAACAATTATAAATGTGATTCATAAATTCATGTACTAAGCAATATCTAAAAAATTATATTTTTCATTCATGAATGGGAAAAATGAAAACAACATTGTAATTGTTTAAATTATCAATTAAATTTTATTGAGTAAACTACAGAGTAATTATTTCTATTGAAATAACCACAATTATACTCCAATCATATTAAATATATTAAGTATTGATACAACTTAAAATTATAGAGAATTTACTTCTTTCATTTAATATTTGAAAATATGTTTTTATAATAAAATTTAAAAGATTAAATAAATAATATAATAAATAAATCAAATGAATTTCAAAAACTTCATTAAAAATATTATTAGTTTTAGAACCTGTTAATAAGCCAATAAATAAACTCTTTTAATGATATTTACTAAATTTATTGAAATATTACTGTCATTTAAAATATAAAGTCTTTTTAACGATTACTAACTTAGTGCTGCTATTATTGATTTAGTGCTGTTCATTTATTTTTTATTTTTTGATTTATGTCAGAAGTACATTTAAAAATTCTTTCTTAAACATTTTGCTTCTATGCAATATTCGAAAGAATACAACTAAAGAACTTAGATTCTTCTTTGGAAGAATAGTTTTTAGTGATACGAATTTTTTTGCTGTATTAGGTAAGCATATTTTGTCCCTAATTTTAATCAAATCTTCTGTGTCATACCGATCCAAATTCTTCTTAATTTTTCGCAAGCCCAACAGTGTTGCTTTTAATCAACTTATAGAAGACTTTAATCTTTTTTATTAAAGAGCTTTATTTTGTTCATAATAACAACCTCATTTTGTACTTACTAATTTATTTATTAATTAATAAAGGTGGGAAGAGGGTATTATAGTAATCTCAACCAAGGTTATCATGGAAGTCTTCAAGGGACTTAAAATTATTTTACCACTTTTAATAAAACTAAAGTTACCTTTTGAGGTGAAGTACTGCTGATGACTAACATTCTTTAGAAAATCAATAACCAATATCAAGGTGATTAGGGTAATCCCAACCAAGGTTATTATGGTAATCCCAACCAAGGTTATTATGAAAGTCCTCGAAGAACTTAAAATTATTTCAACTATTTTAATAAAACTGAAGTTACCTTTTAAGGAGAAGGTGGATCCTCAAACGTGTTTTGTAGGTGTATGCGCCATTTTTAATCTCTTCTTTCTCTGCACAGACATTAAGTTCTCTATGTAACTGTGTATTAGTAATATACTATAGTGCACTAAGTTACTCAAATGAGCACAATAATAACTAAGCTATCATGCTTTATTAGCTTTAGCCAAGTTAACGTTATACATTATCTTATTAAATGCAATATTGCTTAAGCTTGCAAAATACTTAATTTTTAACGAAATTTTATTATGAACAACAGCTATAGTTAAAGCCAATGATACCATTTAACTCAAGAATTAAGATGCTCTTTTATCTGCAAGCCTGTGTTTAAGTTTGGCGAATAGAACTTATCAATTATAAATAGTAATAGTATTTTTTTATATTCACCTTTTATAGCAGATCTTTTATATAGAAAAGTCTGTTACATTTCTTCTTGTTTTTATTTTTATATCTCTATTTATTAACGTTTTTAATTTAAAAAACTTGGTTTAAAGCCTATTCACACAGCACAACAAACCGTAATCTTGTTTGTAATTTTACTCGTTAGGTTTGCTTCGCTAAAAACGTGTTCACACTGCAAATTTCAATTTTGTTAATTTTATGTTTTTTTTTTTATAATTGAGCTTTTAAATGAAAATAACGAACATTACAGTAGTATTTTGTTTTGTTTTACTTAAGTTTATGACAATAATACAAAATATCCGTGTCTATGTATAATGTTTTGAAATTAAATTTATGTAATTTCAACTTGTGGAATTGTAATTTGTACAAAAAATTTCAATTAAGTCTTCCGGATTTTTGTTTGGAATTGGATTCTAATTTCAAATTGATTTTAAAATGAAACGATCCTAATTAACAAATTAACTATTACTTGTACTGTGTAATTCATATCTTATATCTGTTTTTGTTGTACGGTAGATTCATTAAAGATTAGTTGAAGCATGGAGCATGTAAATCTCCGTTGTATTAAAATTATTTAGCGTTTATGCTGCATCAGTTTGTGATTAAAAACGATCATAATTAAAGTTTGAAACTTCAAAAATCTCCAAAAGTTCATAATATTTTTAGTTTCTTCTAGACTTCTTCTAGATATATACAAATATCTTAATATTATGAATAACATAGTCATCGCAATTGCAAATACATTTCATATATGAATGATATGTAAAACTCGTATATTAGATTTTTAAAAAAGATGATTAACCTTACTTTATGTTAGGAGATATATGCATATATAGTAATATATTTCAGTAGTAAAATCAGTTTTACAAATAGTTATGGTTCCCAAAATGCTACGCAGTCTCTAAAGTTTTTTAGTTGACTCAGTCAGTATCTCCTTTGTAACTACCGCATTCAAGATAAAATCTGTTTAATCATAAATTTCATTTGAAGACACTTTGTAATTTGAAATATGACTCTACAAACGCTTTTTCTCTATACAAAACAATTAACTAATATATTTTTAAGTAGTTTTTGCTTATGAATCATAATGAAATAAATCAAAAATATGTCACACCTTAGTTTAAGAACTAAGTTTAATCAGTGCGTATGTGCATGTAAGAGATAGCACCTTTCATTATATAGAAGACATAATTTATTGCTAAATTTTTAAATTTTATTAATTATTGCCTAAATGTAAAATATTTTAAGTTATGACACTCAGTAGTGTAAACTTTTCTCGGAAATTCTGTAATAGGCTGTATACAACAATAGCATACATCTTAGTCAAAAACATTTTCGATACATATATAAAACCTATGATCCGATATACGTTTCTTTAACTTTTCAATTCCAAATAAATTGTACAAATTTAGCAGATAACAAATATTAATTAGAACAATGATATGTGTATATTACAAAAAACAAAAAGAAAAAGAATCAGACCCTCATCATTCATTGTAGTTTTAAACAGTTAATAACATAAAAGCCTTTGTATTTATTTAATAAGAATTTCTAATGCTTCTCCAAATCCTTTATTTCTAGAAACATATAATGACAAGTGTAATTCAATAAAAGTAAACTACGTAGTACTAGTATTTTCTGCGACTTAAAATATTTACCAGACGAAGAAGGTGTATCAACATAAGTAATATTATATTTTAAGTGATTGCCTTGAAGTAATTAAATACATTTTTAATGCTGCTATTAGAATCAAATGGAAATATATTAAAATATTGAAGAACCTTCTTAAAAATTAATTAGCAGAGTGCATACGTTCAGATAATTCTTAACTTGTGAAACGTGATTCTCACATTATGTTCGCTACTGCGAAAAAAAACTGTTAAGTTATGCAGTCAATTTTATGAGGAATGTAAATGTTAGAAGATAAAAACTTTTATGTATTCATGCACATAATTGAAACATTGATAAAAATAATTATTTCTCACCTTTGGGTAGCGTATAAGTGACTAAAGGTGAAGTTCAAGTAACGCCTTCAGACGTGCTTCCGTTGCAATTAAGAGCGCGTTGAAAAGCTTGGAATTAAAATGCATGATGCATTTAAAATTATCCGCAACGGCAACAAGGCGTTGCTAGTCGAATGTATCTGACCGCCATCGGCAAATTCGCTGCCAGCATGTGTGATGATA